GGGCTCATAGGGCTCGAGAGTTACGGACAAACGATACTCAACATTAGAAGACATAGCAAATGTTGACAATGGAGTTAGGGAAAGACACGGAGATGGTGGTGGTTACAGGTCAAGAGTTGAAAACTCACGTGACCAACCAGAAAAAATTCCATGTGGACACACTCGGCCATCGGGATCTGTGTCCTTGAGGGCAAGAATGCTAAAGGGGGGATACTGTAATGAGCATGCCGACGGAAACCTGACTTCCACTCAACCCAACAAGCCACAGCCCGGAAGCCTACGGATTCTGATTCCCACTTTCTATTTCATATTCCATTTCATATTCCTTTTTATATTTCACTTCTCCATTACAATTTATCAATAGCCCGACATCGGTAGCGAACATGTCATCGGACCCCATCAGCTACCGACCGGTAGAATACATCCTCTGACAACCCTAGAATGTAGACCACTCCGAGTAGGAACTAGATCGGACTCCTAACTAGTATATAAGCCTTAGAATTACACTGTAGATACTCAGTTCGAATATCAACTTGGTTCAGCCCAATCTCTCTCTCTCTGACTCTAAGTCACACTCTCGTTCTCCAGTCCACGGAACTCCGATCCGTTGGACTTATCTCTTACCTCGTCTCTGCCACTCCGCGGACTTCTGTCCGTATTCATCTTAGGGCTTCGGCTCAGGGGTGATGTTGCTAATAGCTTTGCCTATGCCCGATGCATCCCATGGCATTCCGCTACGTGCACTTTCTGCCGCAATCCTATTGGCACGATCCTAACAGTAGGTGTGGATACAATAATTGATGGGTTTTCAGTCAAGGAGATCATTCAGAAGTCATGCTGTCTGGTGCACTAAACTGCGACACGTTGAAGAGAGTACTCCCTTAGGCATAGTCCATGATGAGCTTCAAAGTACTACAAGTCGTGAGAAGCATGGCAGACTGGCATGAGCATTCTCATACACCATTGGGTGTTGTGTTCCAAAATCCATGAAAGGCACTCTGAATGATATTTAACTGTGAGCTTATCCAGCAACACACAATATGTATGATGTTTTATGAGCAGGAAGATTGGAGGCAGGACATGTTGTTTTGTATGGTCATCATTCTCCAACAACATGTCCAGTGAGCTGTATTTTGTCGATCATCATGGCATCTGAACTAATAAGCAACATCAGTGATGAGATAGATAACCACATAACCACATCGATAGCTTACCCCGCTATAACACACTCATTCAGATTTGGAACCCCTGTTTCTCCTTCTGTCCCGACAAGCTTTGCTGTCGTCCTCATTTGAGGACTACGAGGAACATGGGATAAAGATCTCAAACACGAGGATTTCTTCTCAATCTTAAAACAAATGTTTGATGTTACTTGACATTGGCCAGAACCGAGAAACGTACAACATACTGAGTCGTCCTACCTTCAAAAGGATCTCCAGTTGCCATGGGATTTAGACCTGTAACCAGTCCCTCCTTACAGGAGGCTGCAGGGTGATCTCATTCCATCATGACACAGTGGTACCATCAGGCATGCCAGCATTCATATGGTGAGGAATAAAGGAACCGTTCTGCCACAACGTGTTGGGAGTGAGAAGTCAAAATTTGCGATCCTGACAGACTCCTTCTATGCTCGGGATACGGGATCAACGATAGGTGCAGATGTCAGACAAGGGACAAGGATTTGACAGAGAAGATTTCAATGTGCAGCTTCTGAAGGCGAAGAAAGGGCATAAGGACCAATTTGCAATAATTAAATATGATATTTTTTTAATGCCCAAGAGAGGGGGGAGAACTGAGGAATAAACCCCCATATCTTGAAGGTAAGCCATGAATTATGGGTCTCGGCAGCTACCTTCTCTCACACCAGAAATGTGTTTCATGGATAGGTGTATGATGGCACCTTTAACCCTAGACTCAATCTTGTTATTAATGCTGTTAAGATAGGTAGCCTCTACCACTTCAATCAACTCTGTGATCCTCTGTTCTGAGATGGAGCACCCCTCAATATGAAGGTTGGGGGTGAGATGTGCAAGCACGCATTGAAGGTCACTGAACCAGGAAGGTGCCCGATTTATCTGCAAGTTAATGGCTTCCTCCAATGCAAGACGCACATAGTGATCTTCCAATAGACCTAAGAGATATCAGAGATAATGAAGGGCAAGGATCAGGTGCCGAAAATACAGTGGGACCACTCCTTCAAAACAGGAGAATACAAGTTAGCAGTGAAGATACACCCGGCAATTTATGGAATCGAACCTGTCTCAGCATGTATGAATGCCAATACGGTTTTGGAGTGCACGCTAAGCAAGTGTCACAGAAACGCACTGGAGACATGTTGAAGTTCTTCTGATACTGCCAAATTGACATTGAGAATGATCTCACATCCCACAATGCATCAGTAAGTTCACATCTGTGTGGTGAGCATGGGAAGCATGGCAGGTATATGAGATTTTGAGCCATGTCATGCCATGCATAGCCATGCACACAAAATATCATTATAGTGATCATGCACCTATACAGTACTGGTATGGTGGAGTGATATTGACATGGATATTTTTTTCTGAATGTTTGGAGTTGGTTCAATCCCTGCAGACACCAGAATTGACTTTGCGTTGGCCCTGGCAGTCAGCAGGAGATCTCACATAATTCGCGATCCCAAAATGGCATGAGGTCCGAGCGCAATCATGTCACATCATTGTATCACATGCATGTTGAACTTCGGTCATGATGGATCCTTTCGCTTGTTATCTTTCTTCCTTCCTTCCCTTGTCCTTGACATGCTGGCCCAGACTTCTATCCTCATTCTGGTATGTATTTTCTTAAACCTTATTCATATCCTACCATTAGAGACCTTCACAGGACCTCATACCACTCTAATATGCTGAGCAATCTCACTCTATTCATACCTCCACAATGACTTCAGTACTGTCAAGGCTATACTCATTCTGTCAAGACCACAAACGTTGGTGTTGGAATTATTGCAGTGGGAGGCTTGCAGTAGGTATAATACTAAATTGTTAGCTACTAGAGCTCCTAATGAGCTCCTTATATACTACACAAAGTATCTAGAATATTCTACCAAAAGTATTAAATATATCTAAGTATCGTGACAAATGAGTAAGCTGAAGCTTCAGGAATCTTCTAGTATGAGCTTGAAGTTGCAAATCCCAACAGTTGGGAGTAACAATGTGCACCATGCGCCAAGGTATTGGGATGGCCTGCAAAAGGGACTTGATGGAACAAGGTGAGTGGTTCATACTGCTGCTGTTCTTGGTGCTCATTTTTTGCTTTGGTAGCATGTGTAATATCTTTCACATCCGAATACGATTCCGGAAGGTGCATCACTGCATTCAGGTGAGTTGTCTTCCCTCTAACAGTGTCTGGCACCTAATATATTTCACAGGTCTGTGTCGAGTGCATAAGATCGATTCAATACCCTGGGTCTGCTGGTAGGATGTTCGTGCTGGATAGCGGAGCTTGAAGAGAGTGGTCACTGGTACCTTGTTACTGTAGTATACTTACAATGTTATGTTGTAGGATATATATTCAATGCTATTCTTTCTATACCAAGCATAAGGAACAGATATGAGTTGGATTTCCGGTGCAGCAGATGCAGGTATAGGTGGTATATGGCATGGATGTGTATTGCGCATGGCAGTGTATAAGGTGCTATACACGGTGTATAAAATTACACAGGTACCTTATACAGCCATGCATGTGTATAGCTGTATAGTTCGCATGGTTTACATGGCACCATGCAAACCATATGGATGTCAACTTACTGATGTGAGGTAAGGGTCAACTTTTGCCATGTACAGCGACATTCCTTCCTTCATGGGGAGGGATCCGACACAATTTTCAATTTGAGAAAAGACAACATCCTTCATGATCCTTGCCTGAGATGCCTTCACCTTATAATGCTTATCATATACATAAGCACATGATGAGTCGAATCGGATTCCGACAAATTTGTATTCTGTTACATAGGATAGGGTATCCCCAGTGACATAAAGCAAGGGAATAGCCTCAGGTGCAAGGGCCAGAGACATCCACAGATGGGATTTCTGCAAGAAGGTCTGATCACATCAAAACGATCAGATGAAGAGCTGTGGACACAAGGTGCACTCCGAGTCAGCTTTGTTGGGATTTGGCAATCCAGCATCATGCCGAAGTTGCTTATTAAGGTAGAAGTCTTAGGAAAAGCATGGAAAGTTCTAGTAAAAGTACATTTAGTATAAAAGTAGGTACTATAGCATAGATCCTCATGCGTTTGCAGAGCTCAGCCAAGCACAATACTATTGGCTTGCTACTGCACATGTGACACTGGGAACGAACCGATACCCCATTTTCCAACAAGCTTTCTTTTATGACATTGCTTAAGCCCAGAAAATCATAGTCCAGCAGAATGTACGCTACCTGTGTGGGAAGACAGACAAGATGATCTCACATCTCATCAACTGCAAACGTGTACCTGCAGATATCAAATCACGAGCCGAAACAGAAAAGAAGAAGCGCAAAAAGAAGCAACCCACATCCGAATCAACGGCATCTCAACCTGTTGAGAGAGAAGAGTGCATTCCACTTTCAAAATTATTCAAGTATGGTCCTTCAGGTGACAACGATGACCTGTTACCCTCTGGACGTCAGGTAAAGGCCCGGCTTGACTTATTCTGGAAGGGTGGAGTGAAGAATTTGGAGAAGGAGATGGAGTTATATGATTTGCTGCAAGTGGGGACTAGTAATTCACCAATTGTAGTCGAATAGAGCCCTAAATAACACCACTATTCACTGAACAAATGAACTTGGTTTGACCCCTCTGACCCCAGTCATGACCAGGGGGTCATAGAGGTCAGAGAAATTCTCGCTGACCTCTCATTTGACTGACCCGGGTCTGACCTGGGGTCATGACAACACTGGGCAGAGCCACTGACCAACCTTTCCAGTCCGTGTTGTACACAAATCCCTGTAGTTACAGGGGAACGAGTTGTACACAAATCCCTGTAACTACAGGGGAGCCATTTGTGTGCACAGGTCAGGGAATGGTACTATACACCCTTGCTGTGGTGAGTCAGCATCTTGTGATGCCTCTTGTGACTGCCTGGTGCATGATTATGTGAGCAGTCGAGCCCACTGTTGCCTTCAACATGCTAGGGTCCTTAGGCAGCTCGTCTCCCTGTTAGGATTGTGCCAATAAGATTGCAGTAGTAAGTGCACATAGCGGAATGCCATGGGATGCGTCGGGCGTAGGTGAAGCTATTAGCAATGTCACCCCTGAGCCGAAGCCCTAAGATGAATACGGACAGAAGTCCGCGGAGTGGCAGAGACGAGGTAAGAGATAAGTCCAATGGATCGGAGTTCCGTGGACTGGAGAACGAGAGTGTGACTTAGAGTCAGAGAGAGAGAGATTGGGCTGAACCAAGTTGATATTCGAACTGAGTATCTACAGTGTAATTCTAAGGCTTATATACTAGTTAGGAGTCCGATCTAGTTCCTACTCGGAGTGGTCTACATTCTAGGGTTGTCAGAGGATGTATTCTACCGGTCGGTAGCTGATGGGGTCCGATGACATGTTCGCTACCGATGTCGGGCTATTGATAAATTGTAATGGAGAAGTGAAATATAAAAAGGAATATGAAATGGAATATGAAATAGAAAGTGGGAATCAGAATCCGTAGGCTTCCGGGCTGTGGCTTGTTGGGTTGAGTGGAAGTCAGGTTTCCGTCGGCATGCTCATTACAGTATCCCCCCTTTAGCATTCTTGCCCTCAAGGACACAGATCCCGATGGCCGAGTGTGTCCACATGGAATTTTTTCTGGTTGGTCACGTGAGTTTTCAACTCTTGACCTGTAACCACCACCATCTCCGTGTCTTTCCCTAACTCCATTGTCAACATTTGCTATGTCTTCTAATGTTGAGTATCGTTTGTCCGTAACTCTCGAGCCCTATGAGCCCGCCCTGACACCTGACAATCTTCGCCTGGAAGAACTAGAAGTTTTCTTCGATGAGCGGGATGCTGTGGAAAAAGTGAGGGAGGATGCTGTGGAGGCCCATGAAGCCTGGAAGGCGCAAAAGCTGAAGGAGGAGAAGAAACAGGCCCAGGAGTTGGAGAGGTGGGAGAAGAAGTTGGCATGGGAGAAGCGGGTTGCCGAAGCCAAGGCAAAAAAGGAGCAGGAGGAGCAGGAGGCCATGGAGAGGAAGCGACAAGAGGAAGAGGTGGAGGCGAAGCGATTGGAAGAAGAGGCAAGGGCTTTGGAGGAGAGGAAAACCGCAGAGAAGTTAGCGGATGAGGCCAAGGCCAAGGCCTTGGCGGCTTGGAAGGCCGTGGAGGCCGAGAAGGAGCAGGCAAAGGAGAAGGAAGGTGGCAATGGGAGTGGGGGGAGCAAGGTTGGTAGTGGGTCCGATGGAGATGACAAGTGGGAGAAGGACCCGAAGGGGAAGGCGCTGAAAAAATTGGTAAAGCAGAGGAAGGATAGGAAGGGTAAGGGTAAGGCAACGGATTCGGAGGCCGCAGGGAATTCAAAGAAGAGGAAGGCCAAGTCCAGTGCAGTGGTATTGAGTGGAGAGGAGGAAGTCACAGGGCCGTTGGGGCGGCCATTGAAGAAGTTGAAAACTGAGCCTGAGATGCAGGCGGATGACGAGGAATATAAGGATAATGGTAAGCCTCCCCGTGGGTTCCGACTATTTTGCTGACTTGGTGCATAGAGCATTGTGGACGTTGTAAGACAGACAACGTAAAATGTTTCATTCGCCGTGGGCGTACTTGTGAACGGTGCAAATTAAAGAAGAACAAGTGTGTGTTTCCACAAAGTGAAGGTTCGGGATCCACGGGTTCCAGTGAGGTCATCGACCTCCTACAAAAACTTTGCAACAAGATGGACAATTTCCAGGAAGGCTTGGAAAGGGTAGAGGGAAAGGTGGATTTCCTTGGAAGCCACGTCGATGACTTGGTCGACGATTTTCATGAGGGTGATGCTCCGGAATGGCCATCGGATTTCGTCAAGGAGGAGTTTAGGGAGGAATGGGTGGCATCTAAGGTCGAGCTCGGAAACCTCAAGAACATGAACTCGGAGGCCCTATGGATCGCAATGCGTATGCGACTTGACAAGGATGTTGCCCAGTTGTGGAATGCTCACGTGATGGGTACCGAAACCCTTGATGCCGCGGATCCCTTCGAGGTCGCCAACATGCAAGTTTGGTATGGCTGCCTTGGGAAAGACGGTCTTTGATTGGCCATCAAACATCGCGACCATTTCTTGGACACAAGGGACCAGTTCTATGCACTCGGAGGCCGTCGGATTGAGTGGGCATTGTGGAAGAGGTATTTGGAGGATGCAGATGAGTTTTTGGTAGAGAATTCCGAAGGGGAATTGGATCCCGAGGAGAAGAAGAGGGATGAGATGTGCCCAGGCGCGGGTGCCATTGGCGTTCCGGCACTGGATGAGCTGGAGCTTCTTGTTATGAGTGATGAGGAGGAGGCAGGAAGTGGAAGAGAAGATAGGGTGGACGAGGATGTGGTGATGGGAGAGTTGGTGCACGTGGAATCCTAGGCGCCCTTCTTGGACTTGTATATATTTTTTGGATGTTGTCTTGTACACGGATTTTGAAAGCATGGGCCTCAATGGGCATAAATATATATATATATATCTTGGCTTGTAGGCTTGAGTGAGTAAGAGGGAGAAGGAAAGCAAGAAATAGGTGCCCGATGGGCTCTGTTCCCAATTAGGAAGGTAATTTGCAATAGTTTTCCAGGATTTGATTTGAAATTCGAGGAGCGGAGACCATAGGGAGCTGATAAGTTATGAGTAGGTCAAGAAGCAATGGGCGAGGGTTTGAGGGAGACTTTGCGGATGGTGACTTTGGATAGCGGTCCTGGTTTGTCTGGGTAACGTTGGTGGAAGTCTTCAATGTATTTGTCCGCGGAGAATTCTGTAGTGGGGATCCAGGCAAACTCTTCATCAGTACCTTCATAACCCAACCATTGGACTTGGTATAGGAGTGGACAGCGGAACCAACGGTCAAGTTTAGAGTTGAGGATTTGAGAGATTTCATACTGTTCTTCACCGTCGACTTCAACTGGAGGTGGAGGAGGTTGGGTACGGTTAGGGATAGTATTGGTCTCCACGGGTTCAAGTTGGGAGACATGGAACACTGGGTGAATGGAGCGGAGGTCCGATGGGAGTTTGAGAGTGAAGGAATGGGATCCTGGCTGAGCAATGATATCGAATGGTCCTAGGAATTTTTCGGCAAATTTCGCAGTAGGGCGAGTAGTTCTGATATGTTTGGAACTGAGGTAGACTTTGTCACCTACTTTGAAGTCAGGAGCCGGGGACCGCCGCTTGTCCGCTTGTAATTTGTAACGGGACTGAGCATAAGTGATTTCATCTCGAAGGAATTGGTGGAGTTCGTCGAGGTTAATGATGAAGTCACAGGCCCGAGCGGAGGCGATGTCGCGTTCAGGATGTATGGTGATATTGGGATGAT